AACTCTTCAGTACCTGCACTTCAGTGGGCGGTACTTGTCCTCACGGACGCGTGGCTTAGGTTCCTGCTGCATACTAGCCAAAAGCAGTACTGGGCCCCACGTGAACTGCGAACCCTAGTGTTACCTCGGGCGCCGTAGGTGTAAGCTAGCTAGCACGGCCTTTCGTAGCACGCGCACCTCCCCTTCCTCCCCCCATCAACGTGGCTGACGAATTCTTCGACTGCTCTCGACTTGAGCACGCCTTCGACACCCAGGATCAGGTCGACGTCTCTCGTGACGACCCAAAGAGCAGCGAAGACAGACCTCCTTTCTTCATCTGTGATCGGCAACCGTGTCCTAATCGCACTCCATGGTCCATCACTGTTGACGAAGGGCACTTCATACCCATCCGACGAGTCCAACACCCTAGAGGCCCTGCACTCCGATACGCTGGCACCTCGAGGTCTACATCTCGCCACGTCACTCCCGTCCCATCCCGACCTGCCTCGCCAGGTACCCGCATCCCCCAACCTGTCGCCAGTACAGGTCAAGCGCGAGGAGATCCCTATCTCCCTCGAGGAACTGAGGCAGTCGCACAGCCTTCAGCGACCCCTCAAGCGATCCCCCAGCCCTCCCTGGGGCCGCGGCTGGAAAGACCTCCCAAGGCCGAGCCCCGCGACACTCCGCCGCATTCTTGGGCCAGCTCGTCGTCAGCGGTCACCACCTCGACTCCAGTCCCTGTCCTACGTAACCCCGCCTCCGGGCTTCCTCAACCGACTTCACCGCCGTCGCCGCCGCGAGGCCGCTCGAGCACTCGTTCCCCGAGAAGTCCGCCCGGCGGACAGTCACAACAGTCGCCTTCGTCCGCGGGCAGTCCTTCGTCCCCCTCGTCGCTGATAATGTCCTCTCCCGCTGCTGTCCCTGACAAGGAGACGTTGAAGCTCCTCCTCCCGCTCCGCTACGATGGCAAAACCATCATCGAGTGCAACCGATTCCTATCGCAGTTGCGCATCTACTGGCTGGTCAACACGTCGTTGACCACCATCGAGCTTAAGGTACAGGTCGCACTCAGCCTACTCGATGGAGATGCCCGTGCCTGGGCCACCCCCTATTTCGCCCAGCTCGTATCGGTGCAGATAGGAGTGCAAGGGGTCACGACCCCATTCGCAAACGAAGCGGCCTTTGCCGCTGCCTTCAGGGCCCGCTTCGGAAATCTCGACGACGAAGCAGCAGCACAAGTGGAGCTGGCGAAGCTCTGCGCGGACAAGTCGGTCCGCGAAAAACGCACCGCCGCGGAGTTCTCCGCGCTGTTCAAGGGTCCGGCGGACCGCTCCGGGTATGGGGACCTGGAGCTACGCGACAGGTACCTGAGCGGCATCCCCTCCCACGTCTACCGCAAGATCGAGCTCGAGACCTTCACCACGTGGCAAGCAGCTGAGAAGCGCGCCACCGAGGTCGAGCAGATCCTCGATATCAGCCGGGCCCGTAGGCCCGAGCTAAATAACTTCTTCTCGGCCCGAGGTCGAGGGCGCGGTGGGGCACGTGGTGGTGCACCCTCGACGCACGCAGCTTCGGCCAGCATCAATGCGGCCGTCGGAAAAGGCAACTTCCCCGGCACATGCTTCGGCTGTGGGAAGCAAGGGTACCGACGATTCGAGTGCCCCAACTGTAAGGACAAGCCTTACACAAAACGCGCCGACGCGCGGGCTACGGTTGCCTCGGGCTCCACCCAGGCTGCGACAAGCGCCCCCGTCGCTTCACCCTCGGCAAGTATAAGTGCCGCTTCAGCAAAGTCCGAGCAATTGGAGCTGGCAGACTTAATGGCACAGGTGAAGTCGATGCGTGAGGAACTCGAGCACTATCGGGCGATGAAGGAGGAGGGTTTTTAATCCGGTCCGCGCTTCGTGCCGCACGCGTCGGGCCGCATATATCCTGTAACAAGTATGATGTATTGTCGACTGCAATGGTGTATGAGTTGGACCAGGGGTCCCAGCACTTTCACATCCCAGTTCGACTTCAAGGAAAAAGACGGCACAAGGACATAATCGCTATGGTGGACAGCGGAGCCACCACGAAGTTCATCAACAAGCGATTCATTGAAGAGAATAAGGTGCAGACGCGGAAGCTAAAAGAGCCGATTCCGCTCTACAATATCGACGGCACCCTGAATAAGGATGGAAGCATCTCAGAAGTAGCAGTGCTACAGATGCACATAGGAGAACACGTCGAGAAGACAGTGTTTACGGTCACGGACATCGGTCCAGAAGATGTGATCGTCGGGTTGGATTGGCTACGCGAGCACAACCCAGAAATAGATTGGGAGAAGGGCTCCCTCAAATTGTCGCGATGCCCTGAAACGTGCAGTGCCAGGAGGACTGGCCGAATGGAGCAAGCGGCGACTGCGCGTGATACGGGGGTCAGGCCCACGGCGCGCAGGCGTTCGCCGAAGTCCAAACGGACGGTTATAGGTGCCTGCCGGAGTAAGGTACTCCCGGACTTCGAACCCGAAGAAGATCCGGTGGAGGTAGAGTGGGATGAGGCCGATTTGATCGAAGCCTGGGAACAAGGTGTCACGCTTCCCGGTGCTCCTCAGCTGTTTGTTGCAGCAGGACATACATACTCCCAGCTATTTGCTGAGGAGGAGATCAAAAAGAAGGTCGTTAAGACCGCCGAAGAGTCGGTACCTAGACAGTACCACGAGTTCCTAAATGTCTTCTCCAAGGAAGCATCAGAACGGTTACCCGAAAGGAAGCTGTATGATCACGCAATTGAACTCGTGCCCGGCTATTCGACATTCCATTCGAAGGTGTACCCCCTGTCGAACAACGAGCAGGAGGAGCTTGACAAGTTCCTCAAGGAGCAACTAGCGAAGGGCTACATACGGGAGTCGAAGTCGCCCATCTCGTCCCCCTTCTTCTTCATCAAAAAGAAGGAAGGGACGCTTCGACCCGTGCAGGACTACCGCCGGTTGAACGCGATCACGGTCAAAAATCGTTATCCCTTGCCATTGATCGCCGAGATGGTGGATAAGCTCCGCGGCGCTACGCTCTTCACGAAGTTCGATGTCCGATGGGGATACAATAACGTCCGGATCAAAGCTGGTGACGAATGGAAGGCGGCCTTTGTAACTAACCGGGGACTGTACGAACCCCTGGTAATGTTCTTTGGCCTCACTAATTCCCCCGCGACCTTCCAGGCCATGATGAACGAGATCTTCCACGACCTCATCGTCGGCGGCAAGATCCTTGTGTACCTAGATGACATACTCATCTTCTCCACCAACAAAGAGGAGCATGAAAAGGTCACACGCGAGGTTCTGCGTCGCCTTCAGGACAACAATCTGTTCCTGAAGCCTGAGAAGTGCGAGTGGGACGTTCCCAAGGTCGACTACGTCGGCTATGTGTTCGGTGGCGATGAGGTGGCGATGGATCCCGCGAAGCTGAAAGGAATCAATGAGTGGCCGGTGCCCCGGAACAAAAAAGACGTTCAGAAGTTCCGGGGGTTCTCCAATTTCTACCGCCGCTTTATTAAAGACTTCGCTAAGATCTCGCGACCACTCGACCGGCTCACAGGGAACGACCCATGGCATTGGGGCGAGGAAGAGCAGCATGCCTTCGATGAGCTCAAGCGGCTCTTTGCGACAACTCCAGTCTTGGCGCTGTACGACCCTAATCGGGAGACGCGCATTGAGGTTGACGCCTCGGGGTACGCCACTGGCGGCGTGTTGATGCAGAAGCAGGATGACGGCAAATGGCATCCCATCGCCTTCAGATCCCATGCGATGGATCCGGCGCAGCGGAACTACGAGATCTACGATAAGGAGATGCTCGCGATCATTGA